TATATATATAAACTCACTTATCAAAACGGTCGTCAATTATTTTCTTACATATTAGGGAGTTAATTATTTTCTTAGATATTAGTGAGGCAATTAAGTTCTTTATTTAAAACAATAACACAAAAATAAAAAAGAAAGAACTTTAAACCAGGAAAAAGACTGAATTCTGATCTTCCACTGCTGTTGAAATTCACCATTAGTTGAAGACAGATAAACAAAAAACAGTTTCAGTTTTTGTGTTTTACGAGGAAGAAACTAAATAACAGAATGGCTATCAGCAACATTAAATTTATCAAATTCTTTGTTAAGGCAGAAAGTGGCAACTTCTCAATAAAATGCTCTAATTGGCGAAATACGGAAGGAACGATCATAAGTATTGTTGGGGGCTCTTTAGAACGTTTGTCGTCGAGACAAGGGAGGAATCAATATCAGATACAAATTCGTATAGAAATGTTCCTTCTCGGCCTAGTTAGAGCTTTTATCGATGTTCAGAAGGAACTTTTCAAACAATACAAACTAATAAGTTGGGTGAGTCTTTTCGATTAAATCAGGAGAAATATATTCTTTTGCTCGTTGATTTACAGCGTAGGATGCCTGATAAAAGAGTTTTGATTTACTTAGTATGGTAATTGGCAGGCCAATTGGTTACAGTTAGGCGGTGAGGCGTGACAAGTAAAATCAAGTATTTGTTCAAATAATCGAAATAAGTGGAAAAAATTTTAATATTATTTTTTGTTCTCTTTTATCCCGAGGTCTATGAGTTTAACCTATGTGGGATTTTTCCTTTCCATTTTGTTATCACTTTCAAAAAGTAGCGAGTCATTTTTTATTGACCGCAATTTAAAGAAATATCAAATGTATGTTTTATATTTTCATAAATTGCTTTGATCTTTTTCAGTAATTATGTTGAAACGTTGGCGTATCAATTAGTAGTCTAGATCCATAATTAAACGAGTTTGCATAACTTAATAGGCTACATAATGTTCTTTTTATTAGCTATACTAATTTCTTTCTTTTTTTTTTTCTTTTTTTTACTGAGCTTCATTAGTAAGACACGCTTTTTATTGACGATAGTTTAAAAATTATAAAGACTATATTCTACATTTTCAGATATTGTATTTTTAAAATAGATTCGAAGACGGAGGAAACAAATCTGGTTAAATTACCGTATTGTATGATAATTTTTTTAGAATTTTTTTACTGTGTGGCGAAAACATTTCAAGAAGAAAAAAAATTCTGGTAACAAAATCCAAAATATGCGGCAAATAGATAGTTTATTTGATAGTTTTTGCGTTCATATGATAACGGTTTCATAAAAATTCTGATTTTAGAAATTACAATTCTTGTTACCACACATTGAGTAAAAAATACAAAATTGTAAACTAAATTTAATGGAATAAATGACATGCTCTAGGGTATCATGATGAAATTACCAAATTTTATCACATGTTATAAAACAATATTTTATTGTTTGCTTTTACCAAAATTACCAAAGCACTTCAGTAAAAATAACCAAACTTTCTAAACTTTTTCCCAAAAGGGCCAGAAATACGTTAAATTCTACGATGTTCTGGTATTTTTGACCATGCTTTTTCCTTAGTCAAGAAGCTATAGCTTTGGCTCATTAATTTACATCCTGCATCGATAATTAAAATGGCTGTATAGTCTACTATGCTCCAAAACTTTTATATCGAGCAAAATTCTAGCTCATTAGAATCATTGTAGATGGGAGAATTAATCATAGATAATAAAATACTTGCGTTTTTGTTTATTTTGAAATTTCTTAAAATATGAATAATAATATTCTGTGATAAAGTCATATGGTGTTTTTAGGAAATTGATCAATACCTAAAATTTATTAGCCGTAAAAAATTAAATATTTTCTTCTCAAGACAGTTTTAAATAGCAAATATTCTAGAAGCATGGGGCAGTAAAAATTGGCAAAAAAAAGAACATGGGTCATAAAAAAAAATTTCAACATTCCTCTAATAATTAGACGCAACGCACTTAAATTTTAACATGATAAAATTAGCAGAGTTTTTTAACATTTTAAATGGCTTGAAAAATCATTAGTTTATTTTGGAGGGATTTGACAGAAAAAATTCACAATTAAAAAAAAAGACTCCTTATTTTCAACAATAATTTGAAAAATGTTTATTAAAGGTATTCATTGTAAAACATACTAAATGGGAAATATCATTCAGCAAAAATTTATGTTTCCTTTGGTTATTGTTATGACAAAACAATTTTTTTAAAAAATCCGAAATATGATTTAGTTTTTATGTTGGTTCCATATAAAATTAATTTTTGTACTTAGTTTACTTCAATTTAAACAAATACAAAAATCCTGTTACCATTTTTCAACTACAAATTAATAAATATATTAACCACTTATTGAATTCATTCATAGCCTTTCTATTTGAGTCTCTAATTAACTTGTTTATGAATGAGGAAATGAAAATTAAATTGAATTCAAAAATTTTAACAAGGATGTAAGACTTGAAAACTGTTTTTTATGATTGCAGTTCAGATTTAGAGATCTTTTATTATAGGTTATCATTCACAATCTTTCATTTATAAAGTAATAAATCTATAAATTGCATGTCGAATTCCTTTATAACCTTCTAATTTGAGTTTATTTCTAATAAACGTTTTTGAATGAGGAAATATTAAGTTGTTGAAATTCAAAATTCTTAACAAAGTCGAAAACTATTTTTGTAATTTCAGTTCAGATTTAGAGATTGATTGTATCAGCTCAAATCTTTCATCTATAGACTATCTAATATAATCTATTCATTTATAAATTACATTTCGAATTCCTTTATAACCTTTCTATTTGAGTTCGTTTCTAATTAACTTTTTTTTTTGTTTGAATGAGAAAATGGTTATTAAGTTGTTGTTGTAATTCAAAATTCTTAAGAAAGACATTTAAGACTCGAAAACCTTTTACCTAAGATTTCAGTTCAGATTAAAAGTAATGAGCATTTCGATGATTCTTACAGCACCAACTAAACCAACAATCAAATTATTATTATTTTTCTTCTTTATGAGCGGAAACCTCGCCAACATACATATTTTTTTCCAGTTCAACTATACATCATTCTAGACATCTTAAACTCGAAATTTTTCCTGTCTGTCAAAGATAATGGGAGAGGAAGAAAGCGAAATTATTTTTACCTGTTGAATTGCAAATGAAACTCCACCTTGTGAGATGACCCCGCAAATAGCTGACCGGAACAGGTTGAGGCCCCCTCTGAAATTCAAGGTAAAGACTATTAGAATTTTACCCCTAAATTTGCCTCTTTTTCGCCCCCTCGAGCATCTATCGTGATTCCAAAAAAGAACTTTCTCTCGGATGTGAGAAAACAGTAACTTTCTCACATCTTACGTTTTTTTTTTTTTTTTTTTTTTTTTTTTTTTTTTTTTTTTTTTTTTTTTCTCTCTCTCTTCCTTTTTGATGAATTGGATTTTTTTTATAAAGAAAAGCTAATAAAATAAGCTTTTAATATGATATTGTGAATTTTCTACTATTGCTTAAATTAAAATTTATTTGGATGGATTAAGTCGAATTTTCTCGTATAACCCATGAACGAAAAGTTGATAGCTTATTAAACTAACTATATAGGATATTAAATCAAATTTTATTCTATTTAAAATTAACAGTGAAATGATTTATTATTATTTCACTTTATTTGTATTTATCTCCATAATCATTCATAAAAGCAAATGAAATAAGATTTTCAAATAAAATATGCTTTTAATATGACATTGTGAATAGTCTACAAATGATTTAATATTAAATTTATTTATACTGATGAAGTTGAGTTATCTCAAAAATCTGTTAAACGAAAAGTTCACTGTTTATTACTCTCTGAATAGGGCAGTGCTTCCCAAACTTATCACTTTTGTGTACCCTTTCTAAATTTTTCGTGACGCTGTGTACCACTAATAAAAAAATGAATGTATTTTTTGCTGCAAAAAAATTGCACAAAACTTAAAAATCACAACTAGCTGTTGACACCACTAATTACTAACTGTTAACTCTGCAAAAAATAGCCAATAGAAAAATAAGTAATCGTAAATTTTCCTGTCTAGCTTTGTTTTTACATAAAAAAAATTTGAAACTTTCGTTTGTTGCAAGATATTTCGCACAAGAACGCGTACCCCCGCTAAACTGTTCCCGTACCCCTGGGGGTACGCGTACCACACTTTGGGAAACACTGGAATAGGGTATTAAATCAAATTTTTATTTCTTAAGAAATTAAGGGCAACGTGACTCATTATTACTTCCCCTAATGGATATTTATCCCCAAAATCATTCTTCAAATTAAGGATGTTTTTCTTAAAGAAAATAATATGTTGTTTCACGATTTTATAACTCTGATTGTATTGTTTTTTAAAATTCATGATTCTTATGAAGATAAAATGTTAAAATAAGTGATATTATCAAATAATATTTTATTATACATTTTTCTAAAAATAATTTAAATTTAGTTTCATTCAGTTTTTAAGTGCAAACTTAAGTACTTATTAAATAAACTATAATATATATTAAAAAACATTCTTATCTCTCACAAAAATGCGTGTGCTGTGATTTGATTATTCATTAATATGATTTGATTAGACAAAAAATAATATCCTTTCATTCCTTCTTATTTTACTGAACTGACTTCCTTTTTAGTCTACTAAAAACGTAGGTTGACATTTCTATTTTATTTCATTATTTTAAAAATAGTTTGAACAAACAGAATCTTTCGCTTAAGATTGGTAATCACAATGTGAAAAAGTGAATATTGAAATGTGATGGATGGTATTTGCAATGTGTAATTCTCCAAATTGAACGAAAATGTGTCAAGTTATCTATCGGAGCAAGTATATAATCGAACCTATACAAATGTGTCACTGCTGAGGCCACTATTATAAGACTTCCCTGAACTGTGGTGTATGCACAAGTGCCACAGGAGGTTCTTGGTTTGAGTCCTGGCAGCACACGACGATCATCTCATTCACTGATATCTTTCTCCGCTGCCATTTTGAGACTATGCATTTTGTTCAAAAATAAGTAATGCTGTTTCAATTTTGAACACGCGGGGTTTTCAAATTTGACTATATTTGACTGGAAGCTATTTTGATATACTTTTGCTCAGTCTTGCGAAGCCTTTTTTTTTAAAGTGCAAATTCAGAAGAAATGAGATAACCCTTTTCTCGAAATTAGTCACAGAGCGTGATTCAATACCTTTGCAGTATCACGGTTACACATTTAACTTAACTGAATTCGAAACATTCAATCGATCAGTGCCACTATAAAGATTCATCGCTTGTTACGCGTCAGGTGCTTCAATTTCGGATCGTCGTTTTAAATTATGCACTCTCTGACCAATCAAGTTGGAGAGAAAGTCGGATCTAGTTAACCTTTCATCTTTTTTGTCTCTGCCACTTAAAAGATAACACCTCTTTTTCTCAATGAAAGTAAACCGATTCAAATTCTACCCACTCAATTTATTGGCAATCCCACTCGATCAAGTTGTAGAATAGTAGATACATAAAAATACCTACGTAGATATTGGATTTGAAGGATGGGACACTTGATACCAAAATTTTAAAATGTTTAACGTATAAAAATTATCGAACAGCCGATTTTTTTTTTCAAACACCCCTTCATTTTCAGGTACATTTTTATTTTTACAGTTCATGACAAGCATCTTATATTTATAAACTTTTGAAATTTAAAAATGATTCCTTATTTTTTCAATAATACTAGGTGTTCCATAATAACCACTCTTAATATTAATATTTAGGAGCCTTGCCATGAAATAATATCTAAAAAGTATACACAATAGTGGTACTGAGAAGGGGAGAACTGAAAGCATCAAAACCTATTTGATTGCCAAATGAAACAGAGAACAGTTGAAAGGCGAATAATAAAAACACCTCTAGTTTCGTGATGGACAATTAAACTTGTTTTGAAACTCTCGCTCATGCCTTTTTCAGTTGCTAATTCGTTTGATTTCGAGTAGTAATTCGTTTGAGCTCTACCAAATCTTGAAAAGTTATCACTAAATTGTTGGCATTTTTTTCTTAAAGACGAAAAAAAAGCTTAGTAATTTTTTAAATATTTGTCTGTTTTGAAGTCTGAACAATTCGTTTCAGCATGTAGTTTAAAATTATGTAATTGCGTATAAACGAAATTGTAAATGCATATGAAGTTTAAATTATGTAAGCCTATGTAGCTTAAAAAGTACGCTTTATTTCAATTTTAAGGAACTCGAGCTACTTTAGGTTTTTGATTGTCCTCAGTGAAAAAGTTTATAAACTCTTAAGCAGTTACAAACTTTTAAAAGTTTTAAAAATAGCATATGAGTCGATAAACATGTTATTTATAGATATTTTTTTCATAAAACATAATTGCTCTATAAGAAACAATACGCAAACTAAAACAACAATGCTAGCCACACCAACTACCGACATAATGAACAAATTTAAAATATTTCGGAATCTAAAAAACTCTCCTTTCTTTTATGCGTAATATACTTTCCTTTTAATCGTTATTTACACTGATTATAATAACTTATCATTAATCTCAAATTTTATTTTAAAGCTCACAACGTGATTTCATTTATAATGCTTCCATTTCAGTAAATACTTATGCAAAGAAAAGAAGAAAAAAAAGCGGGTTTGGAATTTCCATTTATTATTCGGCAGAAAGAAATGAATCCCGTCATCACAGCTTTAGATAAGAACTGCTCAAGTGAAGGTGTTAAATTCATTATATCTCTTACAAATATATTTTTCTTCTTCTGACAAGAAGAGAGAGAAAGTTATTTTTCTTTTGCCCCGAAGTCACTTCACTGATGTGAGTAAGACGCTTTTGAAGATTAAGCCAAATCTGGCGTGGTAATACAGATCGTGAGAAATCGTTTAGTGTAGAAACTCAAGTCTGGTGAGATTAGCGGAATGCTGTCATGTTCGGAAGAATGCCCGGATGAGAGCGAAATTTGTCATCGAGATGAAGAGAAGTGTAAATAATACGACAGAAGAGACGTTTTGCCCATACAAATTCGATGAAAATTCGATCTCAGGTAGATAAAAGAGCAACGAAGGTTACTCTATCAAAGAGAGACGAAAAAGAAGAATCTAGTTTTTCTGACACTTGCAATCCTCACTTCCTTAGATAGAAGTGTTTGTAGTTTTGCTTCCAGAAATGTCTGAAATTCTGTGTGCAAAAATTAATTTTTGCAAAAAAATTATTTATAATGTTACTACATCAATGGGAACAGGTTCTAATTATTCTGTTATTTAAATCCTCACTTCCTTAGATGGAATCGTCTGTTAAAGATTTTTCTTTTTTTTTTTTTTGGCGATTGTAAGATAGATAATGTCGATTTGCTTCTAGAAATGTCACAAATTCTGTGTGTAAAAATTAATTTTGTGAAAGAAATTATTTATATTGTTACTATATCAGTGGGAACAGGTTTAAATTATTCTGCCATTTGAATTCTCCCTTTCCTAGATAGAAGCGTCTGGTAAAGTAATTTTTTGGCGGATGTAAGATGGATATAAATGTCGATTTGCTTCTAGCATCATTGCATGCGTTGCTGTGGCGACCGCTGCTGCAGATGGAAGTGTAGGTGAAAGAATTCTTTAGTGTTTGTATCGTAAATAATATAGGTTTTCTTCTAGAAAAGTCAGAAATTCTCCGGGTAAAAATTTTATTCGCAACCACTAACATTGTGAAAAAATTAGTTTTGACTTTCTTGCATCAATGGGAAAAGGTTAAAGCTGTTCTGCTATTTGAATCTGCTTAGAAAATGTATGTTATTCCTTATGCGAAAGTTTTCTTTTGGTGATTGCGTATATATTTTCAATGTTTTGCTGTCTTTTTTTTTTCATACACGCTTCAATCATATAGCTACAAAGTGTTTCGCATGTTGGCTTTAAATCTAAACAATAAGGGTTGAAATCATATACTATCTCTGATAATATTGCTCAACTGTAGTAGTATAAGTTTGAGTTCTAAAACTCTGAGTTTCGGTAACTTGGAGTGGAGTTTTAGAATAAAACGTCAATCGATTTAATCATGTCATATTTTTATGCTTTGCTAAGTAGTTATTGAGTATTGCTTTTTTCTGAGACGCAAAGATGAAGGACACATTGAATAAAACAGAAAAACGGAAGACAGAAGTGGTCATGTTGAGGCGAACCCAACTTAGATAATTCGATTTCTTAGTAAAAGCCAAGGTACATTCAACCTTT